ACATCTTGGTCAACAGAACCCTTAAGATCTAAATCTTTTTTTTAAATTGACCAAAACTCCAAATCCAGATTAAGCTGCTAAATGAAATCAGTCTCTTTAAAGCCAATTGTTCCTTCACGGTCGGGCAGATTGTGATAGCTGACGAGACGATTTGTCGGGGAAAGAGAAGAGACTCTGGGACATCGCTAAACAAAGAGGGGCTGTGTATTTGTCAGTTCAATTGCAGGTATCAGATGCAGTTGGATGAATGGTAATAAAGGAGAGAGGGGAAGATTGAGTTTTGGCCAGGCCCAAGGCTAGCTCATGCATACAAGGGCAGGATCAATGCCAAAGTGACCATCAGTTATACAGATAATCAAGTAAACAAGGTATTTCATTGCATTACTACCTATCCCAGTATTTGGAACTGCAAAAAACGGCCAAGATTTAGCCGCGCCTGTCATAAGTCCCCACGAATTTGAGGGGAGGCTCTTTACCCTCCCAGCAGCAGCCCATTAATGGCGTCCAGGAGTGGATCACTAGTCCAAAATAGATGTTTAACAAGGAAAACGGGACCAAATGCAGTCCTGTATGGAAGAAAATTTGAGGTAGTGACATATCCAAAATATTCACACGGTTGTGGCAACGGAAACTACATAGATGGTTCATAGAGATGTCACTTTGGCTGTTAGTAGCCTGCCTCTGGAAGGTGGAGACAAATTTGAGCGAAATACCGACGTCCCTTGCAACTCCTCGGGTGCAACGATTTTGAGGCATTTCCTTCCCAAAGTATAAGCTCATCCTCCAAACCTCCGAAGTATGGCGCGTTTGATGAAAACCAGGATGGAAGTTGCAACAAAACGAGCATGCTTTACGCTGCCACCAGTAATGCATTCCGGGACTTCTAACCAGCTAGATAAAGGCATCTGGCAGGGCTGAGCATGTAGGCTCAGAAAAAGGGGAGAGATTAAGCTTTGGCTCAGACTCAAAAGGGAATCGCATTGCCTCGATCGTTTGAGCATAATGGAGTTAATCTATCCAATACACACAAGTGTGTTGAAGTTGCACATTAAGGGGGAAAGGTGGTTGGCCAATTCGAAAATCGCGCAGGTAGAATGCAAGGAACCCTCGTAGCGCATTGATATAAAAATGTTCTCTTACTTACTTAATGTTCCGGGTTAGTTACTGCCGTACATTTGACCATAATGCACTAATGATCTGAAGTCTAAATTATCTGTCGTTACGTACATAAAGTGTGTTGATGAAAGGAGCTGAGTTGTTTACAGTTGTACGGTAATATGATTTTGGTATGCTAATTAACCATAGATGTTACATATTTATCAAAAGGCTAATGAATAGGCAAAAGCTTATATAATCCTAAATCCTAAGGCTTTTGCATATACATTTTCGTCACCCCTTTTTAATTACCAAATTCAAAATTTGCACAGGTCTTCAGAATAATAGGAATATGCGCGCTGCTCAAAATGTACGTACTGGTAGGCATCCTGTGGTCTAGGTTTACATTTGCGTTGTTCGTAACGCTGGTAGTAGTGTATGATCCTTACTGATAGGAACTCACTTCTTTTAAGTTTGTGATGGCATTGCCACGAGATGGGTTTCAGCGACCGCCTTCAGTCGGATTTTATCAACTTGTAGTAGTTTCTCGAATTTCGCCTTGATGTAATGTTGCGGTTCTTGTTGTCTCCCTTCCTTTTTTTTCGCAATTAGCGGATCTGTATGGGTGTATCAGAATGTATTTCATTAAGTGCGGGAAAGTTGTGCTCTTCCGATTTTATTCACTTAATGCATACATGTGGTGGGAAGTGTACACATGCACAGTTGTCTTTCCACTACAAATCGTTTTACTTGATACATTTATCCTTCTGAATATTGGTTAAGAAATTCGATGTGATCACAAGGTGATATATACCAAATCTACTGAAAAGTGCCAGATTGTTGGTTTTGTACATTTTTAGCCATGTCTCGTCCTCACAGTCAACTTCAGAAACAGGTTTTGAAGCTTTACAAGGATTACATGACAGCTCTTCGGCCCGGAGGCAAAGTGAAGATTGAAGAATCGACAAAAGCGCAAATTCGACTGGTAGTGAGAGACGAGTTCCGTAAAAACGCGGTGGTCCTTAGGAAGACGCACTTTGTTCGAATCGAGACCCTAGTGAGACAAGGAAGACGTCTTCTGGAAGACCTTGAGGCAGGCAGAATTTCATCTATAACAACGGTTTCTTTGTCTACCCGTGACAGTGACTAATGGCTGCAAAAGTTCTACACAACATCGTCCACGAGCTTTTCCCCAAGAATTGCGGTCTGTTGTCGGCCTTTGGTTATGGGTCCGTTGCTGTACCCCAGCATGGCCGTAGTACTACAAACTCTCAGTTAGATTTTGTTCTTATCGTAGAGGATCCGTTAAAATGGCACACTGCTAATTTAGCACTTAATCCCAATCACTACAGCAGTCTGGCCTCGATTTGTGGCGGTGCCCTCCTTAAGTATGTTGTCAGTGTGTGTCCTCCTCCTGCCGTTTACTACAACCCTCTAGTAACCTGGCATGATTGCACTGGTGCATTTCCCCCTCAAGTTATAAAGTATGGAGTCGTTGGTTATGAGTCTCTCATTTCTGACCTCAACTCCTGGTGCGATTTGTATATCGCGGGCCGCCTTCATAAACCGGTTGTCTTCGTGCCTCAGTGTGAACCTCCGCCAAAACTAGCTCTCTCTTTACTTGCGAATCTTCGCTCGGCTTTGGCGTTTTCCTTACTTCAGCTTGATCTACCTCTCCTAAATGAGGATTCCTTGTACTACTCTATCGCGTCCATTTCATATCGTGGCGATTGGCGTCTATATTTTGGTGAAGATAAGAGGAAAATCGAGCGTTTAATCACCGGTGAACCTCGTCGACGTAGTTTTCGCAAGCTTTATCTCCCGCTCCTCACTAGCAGTCCCTTTCGAGACCTGTTCACTGTCGAGGTGCCAAGCAATCTGAGGACGGATATTCATATCTTTCCGCTGCAGGAAAGCCAGATTGTGAGACAGCTTCTTGAATGTTTGCCTGTTTCGCTTTGTCACTTGGCTGTTCGTGGAGCCGAAGCATCAGCATATTACCAATTGTCTACGATGACCGCTAGAGAAAGGCGAATGCGACTGAAGCATGCTGCTGCTTCTATTGTTCGGCGGTCCAGTTATCGACAAACTGCGCTGGGCCTGTTCTCAGCAGGTCTTTCTCGTTCCATTATTTATTCCTTCGCGAAATTTCGCAAGATGTTAGCTAGTCTCAGTTCCTGACAAAGTGTAGTCCTCAATTAATACTCTTTTTGCATTGTTGGGTTTTGCCGAAACAGTAATTAGCTAATTTTCCTGTTTTTTACGCGATCTAATAGGGCATTCCTAGATTTGTAAATGCCCTGTTTTTGGATATAAGTAGTTATAACGTTCGATTGCCATGAAATTTACGAATTGAAATTTCTTTGGAATACATACACATTTTTTTATTCCTTGAGGGTCTTAGGCTTTAGGCTTTTGAACGGTGAAACTTCAACTTCGCTGGTTAAGAATAGAAGGCTTATTCAGTATCCATCCTGTAAAAGTGGCTGGTTGGCAGTGCGTTCCAGTACTATGATACGGGGTATTTCGCTGTTATATGGTAGATAGCCGTCGTCGCCCACAAAGGATATGGATTTGATAGGTCAGGAGAGACTGTACTCTGAACATGCATGGCTTCTCACTGTTTGGCAGGTGGTTGAAGCGGTTTTGATGTTGCCCCGTAAGGGGAAGTCACCGGTACCGCTAGTGATTTTGTCGGGGTGTTATTACGAGATCTGTGGTTTCCTTAGCAAGGTAGATTGGTAATTTACAGTTGAGATTATTCGGATGAGGATGTTAATTTTTATGCGATTAGCACGTCCTAAAGATATTGCGTGTCACTGTTTGCACAAATCATCAAAACTTAATGAAACTGTCAATAGGATTTCTAGAGTCGCATTTAATGGTAGACTTGCCATATCGAAGAAGCTCAATTTACTTCTCTTGCGTCAGTCTAATGGTTTCAGAGTTAGGGTTCTGTAGGCTTTTCCTATTTGATGCTCGAAGCAACTCCGTTACTCCGTCAAATGTTCGTTTCTTAGTGTATACGAAGACCCTCCGCAGTGCATATGGATTGGTGCACTGCCTACTGTTCTAATGAATTGTCATTAATAGAATGCTGTAAAAATTAGAGCATTTAACGGGAGTTGCAGATGTGAACGTTTTGCATGAGAGAATGCTTAGGCCTGCTCAATACTGTTTGGCTAATTGAGTTGCGGAGTCGAGATTATTCCTGTACACGAATGTCTTCCTCCAAAAAAATATTTGCAACCATTTCGCTGGCCCTAAAGAATCAACAATGGAATCAATCAATGGAAGTACCGGTCTCTGCATGTGCAAATTGCCTTGTAGCATACATCACACAAGCTAAGGTGGAGTGAATTAGCAATTTCTAGTCATCGTGCATACAAATATGCGCATACCAAGGAATGAAAAATGTTATTGCAATGTGTTGCCTATCTGTATGACTAGCAGCTACTTGGTGTTCATGTGGTTGACGCGCCAGGCTAAAGCTCTACGCCTTCCTCTTCTTCCCTAACGTAAATATTCAGCCGTCTTGTGACTCCTTCCACCAAACGGGGAGTTTTGGGCCGCTATAGTTGCCCTATACGAGTTACTTAGCCCCTTACAGGTGATATGTGCTACCATCGTAAATAAATTGCGCAAAGGAGATCTAATGCAGCGTATTCAAGTCATGACACTACTTCTTATGTACAGTGTTTTGTGACTGGGAGTGTAGTAGTTTATTTGTTCGACTGTTTGTATGAGTGACGGTCCTTTAGGCCGCCACATTTCCTCTGCCAAATGGTCTAGTCTTCGACCATATTAAAGCCTCACCGCTTTCTCCACTGTCTCCACTGTGTGTATTTAGTCGAGACTTGTGCCTTCCAGT